TGTTTGCTGGGTAGTTTCTATGTGGCCTTATAAACTATGGAAAGTCTGTTCCACTGGGCTCTCCAGTTGGCTGCAGACCCTGCCTTGTTTGTAATCCACATTATGCTGCATGTCTGTGCTGTTAGAGCCACCCATTCCCAGGAAAGGAGCCTTTAAACCCCATGGCCAGCCTAGCCAAGAGTTTACACTTTGCTTGGGTTGTTGAGTCGGCTGAGTGCTTCAATTTTTAAACACATCTAAACATTTCAGTAATGTGATAAAGTAGCATAAAACTCCAAATACGGCATATTGTTAATGCAGATAATACTAAGCTGTCCAGAGAGCAGTGACCAAGAGTTACCTTAAATCCTCCTGGCCTCTGTGCAATCTAGCACTGGGAGCACACAGGAAGGAAAAAGCAAAAGCAGCTTCCGCAACACAAACACAGACGCATGTGTTCCTAGACGGGCAGATTAGAAACAGCAGAGGCAGCAACAGCTGTCCTGGACCAGCTCATCAGAGCAGGAAAGAGCACCCCAGTGTGAACACATTGACAGGGAAAGAGCCTTTTAATTGCATAATGCGAAGCAGAGAGGCAGGGCTAGGCTACTGAAAAGTAACTAAGCGGGGCCAGGAGAGTGTCTTGCCACAAGGCATTCTAGACACTATGGGTACATAATGGGGCTGATTTAATAAAGACAAAAGTTGCTAAAGGGTAGGACAGATGCAGTCCATGGATTTGTACAATGTGGCTATCCTTATCTTTGCATTATCTGTGCGGTGTCTGTGTGTCACAAGCCCCAGTGTGTAAAACTTTGTCACGATCCAGCGTGGCCTGGCTGCATTCTGGAACCAGTCATTTCTGTGGCCTGCACGTCCATAGTAAGATGGAATTTGCAGTAGGCTCCATTACATGCAAATGAGATGCAGGCTAGAGACTTGTTCAAGTCAGAAACATTGGAACGAACCATGGAAGAAAAAAAAATGCAGCATCTCGTTAACAGGTGCAAATATATATTCCATATGTAGCAGGCGTGAACCATTATGCCGCGGCTCCAGGGAGCTGTGCCAGAGTGTGAGGTGAGCGCCAATATTTTGTAGCAGAATCTAAGCTTTCATTGCAAATAAATAAATAAAAAATCACATTTCTTATTCTTTATGGTTTGAGTCCCCCAAATGTAACTCGATCCCATATTGTCTTCCTGTAATTATATCTTTAACCCCCCCTTGAAACAACCCAAAGTTGTGAGCTATCCCATTAATTTCAGCCCTTAGATACTGAGATGTAGGCACCATATAGATGCTAACATAATGACAACTTCAATGTTGCTCTGAGCTTTCACTGCCAATAGTTTTAGTTGAAATGTCTTGCTAATGTAATCCATTGATTTTTGGATGCAGTGCTCGACATTGTGGTGAGGTGTGGAGGAAATAGAGGGTCACCTCCTTTTTGTCAAGGGTTACTATCCTTTCAAAACAACTTGGTGTGAGGGTTTTTGAGATTACAAGTTTGGTTGATAAAGGTAATAGTGGTGCTGTAATATACTTGATTTCTGTAGGCATTTGACTTGGCACCGCATGACATTTCGATTTAAAAAAACAAACTAGAATGTTACAAAATCAATGTGGCATACTTCTCTACTCCTACATGAGACTGCCCTATTTATACATCCCGGGACTGTATTAGTCCTGTTGGCCACAGTGTCACGCTGGGAGCTCACGATCATCTGATTATCGACCATGACCCCCAAGTGTTTTTCAGAGTCACTGCTTCCCAGGATAGAGTCCCCCGTCCTGTCAGTATGGCCTAGATTCTTTGTTCCTAGATATGATTTTACATTTGGCAGTATTAAGAACTAGATAAGTTCGTGGAGGATAGGTCCATCAATGGCTGTTAGCCAAGATGGACAGGGATGGTGTCCCTAGCCTCTGTTTGCCAGAAGCTGGGCGTGGGCAACAAGGGCTGGATCACTTGATGATTCCCTGTTCTGTTCATTCCCTCTGGGGCACCTGGCATCGGCCACTGTCGGAAGACGGGATACTGGGCTAGATGAACCATTGTTCTGATCCAGTATGGCTGTTCTTATAACAGTCACTTGAATTCAGTTTACCAAGTGATCCAGGTTGCTCTGTATCAGTGACTTGTCCTCTTCATTATTTACCACTCCCCCAATTTTTGCTTTATCTAAAAGCTTTATCAGTGATGATTTTGGTTTCTTCTCCAGTTATTAATAAAAATGTTAAATGGTGTAGGACCAGAGCCGATCCCTGCAGGACCCCACTAGAAACCCATCCATTCAGTGCTGATTCCAGGTGGACAATTACACTTTGAGACCTGTTTAATGTTATATTACCTCTGTATTTGGCACTGGTGGAACTGCTACCGGAATAGTGTGTCTAGTTCTGATGTCCACAATTCAAGAAGGATGTTGATAAATTGGAACGGATTCAGAGAAGAGCCGTAAGAATGAATACAAGATTAGAAAAACCTGCCTTATGGTGATGGAATCAGATGGAATCAAGGACCTCAATCTCTTTAGCTTAACAAAGAGAAGGTTACTGGATGACTTCATCAGTCTATAAGTACCTACATAGGGAAGAGAAATTTGATAATAGAGGGCTCTTCAGTCTAGTGAACCAAAGTTGTAAAGATTCAGTGGCTGAGTGTTGAAGCTAGACAGACTGGAAATAAGGCATACATTTTTAACAGTGAGGATAAATAACCAGGGGAATGACTTATCAAGGTTTGTGATGGATTCTGCATCACTGGCAATGTTTAAATCAAGAATGGATGTTTTTCTGTAAGATCTGCTCTAGTTCAAAAGGGAATGAATTTAGGGAAGTCCTGTGGCACATGGGAGGTCAGGCTAGATGATCAGAGTGGTCCCTTCTGGCCCTAGGATCTGAATCTATGAAAAGGGGAGTAATGAATGGAAATGCGCTGATTGGATCATCCCTGTTTGGATTTACTTGGAACAACGTAAAATGTCCAATTTGCCATAGAAACTCAGCACTTGGGTGCTACAAAATCCAGGAGGCTTTGAGCAAGATTTACGCCCAACTTGACACAAGTGCCTTAGGTGAATCTGCCTTTGTTTCTTTTTGGCCAGGCTCTGAGAGGGCAGGTATTAAATTTCTAATCAAAGCTGTTGGTTCAGGTAGGTCTTGAAGTGAGTGTTGCTGTCTGAGAGGAGGCACATGAGACGGTAGTGGGTGGAGAGAGGTAGTGTCTGAGGGTAGGGAAAGGGAGCACACACTAGTATCACACTGGACACTCTTTATGTACATAACTTGGCGCTGACCTTTCCTTTTTGGTCCTTGGACTATAATTGGCATGTGTTCTGTTGTCTGTGTTTTTAAATACAGCTGTGGGTGGCTGTTGGTAAGTGGAGTGGTTGAAACTGTTCTAGCTCCCCAAAATAGTCCTGCAGTGGTCCATGCATTTTGGAGTGAGGCTTTTCCTGTTACACAGCCCAGAGGTATGCCAGGGTCAGCCGGCCCCTGTGGCTGGAAAGCAGTCTGCAAGTGAGGTTAGAGAGGTTGAAGGGGTGGGGCACGTGGTGTCCTCTGCAGCTGGAGTTGTATTCTGTAAATGGTGAGGACCACTGGCAGCGGACCCTGTTTTGACAGAGCATAGTACACCTGGACCTGGTAGAGGAGACTGTGCAAAGCCATGAAGGGAGTTCAGGATGAAGGATTAGGGCAGACGCTTTGGTATCCGAAGGCTTGGCAAGGGTTTAACCCCTCTCTAAACAAAGAGCCAGAAGGTATTTTACCAGCTAAAATTCACTAGGTGCTTCCCCAGGAAAGGTTCATGATGCAGCAAGCATCTATTTACAGGTCTCCTAGTGTTTCTATGGATTGCTGGTCACTGGTTTTTGTCTCAGGATTAGGGGTGGTATCATCTATTCTGTGGAAGCACAGGGCTCTGTACATATTTCTCAGCTGGTTAATACCTTTCTGAGTCCTCTTTCAAAAGCTGAAGTGTTGAAGTTTATACAGACTGAGCACTAGAATGGTGTTGTGCAAACCTTGATCCCCACCATACTCCTATGAGAGAGGTCAGTGTTATCCCCAGACTTGTCCATGATTACACTCAATAGATGGTAGAAGTGAAATCCATCTTGGGAGTCCTGACTCCCCACTGCATGCCTCGTCCACTAGAATACATGTGTGATTTTCTGCTAATGATTTGGCATCTAAAAGGGGAGACTAGAAAGTTCTACAGACCTAAATAGCATTGTATTAGTCACTCATTTAGGATTATTAATTTCCTTGCAGAGTTTGCAACTAGAACATTGCAGCCTTATGCTGGTGTTTAGGAACCAAAATGTTAAACTGACCTACGTATTTCTGTGGTCCAAGCTGAGTGAAATGCAAAATACAAACTGCAGATGGTGAAAAAGGGAATTACTGTTCAAATCTTTCAGTTTCTATATTATTTTAGTAACACAAGGTAAGAAATTTGAGATTTAACCTAACCAGTGATGTTACACAGCTTCTCACATTTTGGTTCATCTTTAAGAAGTATTGAATCCGTGAGTAGTTTGATAGCTCAGGACATGTGGTTCTCTGTAGCCTAATCTCTTTGAGCTCTAGGAAGGTGCTAAATTGGATCAGTTTGAATTCACTCTCCATTGTTGCTTTGCTGTGTTTGGGGTAAGGGTCCTGCTGTATGTACCTGGGGCATATGTAGGGTGGCTGTTGGCTTGGGAATCAAAGTTCTGACTTCTAATGTAGCTCTACTACTTGCTGTCTAACCTGGGGAAAAATAACTTTCCCTCTGTCTGGTTCCCCACGTGTACCATGGAGAGAATTCTTTCCTCCCAGGGTGGGTGTAGGGTTAGTTCATGTTTGTGCTGTACCTACACAGGGTAACCGCAAGGCGCTGCTTGTGTGCAGTTCTGGAGTTTGCCATTGTTGCTCCTGCCTGCCTCTGGCAGGAGGTCGAAATGGCAGCTGGCCACAGCAGCAGGGCTGCCTGCATTCTTCTAATACTTTCCGTTTGCTTATTTTTGTAGGGAGCAGGGATGGCCAGGGACAGATACTCCAGCGCTTCCCGGAGAAGGACTGGGAGGATAACCCCTTCCCACAGGGCATTGAACTGGTGAGTATTTTGGCTGTTGGGACTGGGACCTCCCAGTATTGTGTGCATGCGCGCATGTGCAAAGCAGGTTGTAGCCCTGTATTAGTAGAGTGGGCTGTGGTACTGTGCATGCAGGCTTCAGGGATTTGTCCTCTTTGCATGTCAGCAGGACTTTGGCTAGGAGTTTTCCGGCCAAATTCTTGTGTGGAGAAGAGTCACTGCTCCTCTCAGCATGGGACCTAGGTCTCCACAAGCCTTGCGTTGCTCTTCTATGACACCTGCTGGTCTACAGCTCCTTGCCATTTCCTGGATGGAGAAGAGGAGTAGATGGTGCATATTTTAGAAGGGGTGTGTGATGGGTCCCTCCCAGGGTGCCACCTGGAACTGAGGTATAGCTGAGCCCTCTGTCTCGCTAATGAGTTCACGCTTGCACTGTTGTCACCGTGCCTCCGTGGGTCACATCTGAGAATACCAAATTCAGGACAAGCTGCTGGGGAAAAAGGCAGACACACCTCTTCCGTGAGATACACCAAACCAACAACAAAAGTAAACTTCTGTCTCACTACACTGGCTAATAAGAAGTCAGAAATGCAGCCTCCTTAGGTATTCCAGTCCTGAATTCAACACCCAGACACTAGACTTAATTATGAGTGGTTATTTAAAACCAATTTAATCAAACAAAAGGGTTCTTCTTATCGCATAGGGACATCCAGATACCCAGGTCAATATACAACTCAGATCTTGCCCAATAATCACGCTGTTACCAATCTTTTAGTATCTAATATCTAAACATTTATAAAAAGAAAGGGGAAAAAATGGTGAGAGTTAAAATTGGTTAAAGGAATCAAATACATACAACAATTGCAAGGTTCTTGGATCAGGCTTGAAGCAGTGATTGAATAAACTGCTGGATTGTTAAGTCTCTGGTTGCTTCCAAATCATTGGGCGGTCCTCAGTCCCTTGGTTAGAATGCTCCCATTAGTGTAAGTCCATAGTCCAGAGGTTTGAGCAGGAAAGAGGCAAAATGGAGATGTTTCCAGGGCCTGTTACAGCTTCCGCCAAGTGAAGGGGAATCCATTGTTCTAATGTGTGGAAAATTACAGGTAACAAGATGGGGTTTAGAATCACATGGGCAAGTCACATGTCTATGCATCCTTTGCTTAGTCATAGCAGAGGCCGTTACCCATACTCTAGTTACATGAAAGTCCATCAGGTGTGGATGGGCATCTTCCATGGTCCATTGTGAGTTAAGTGTTCCTTGATGGGTCATTTAACTTGAATAGTCCCTTCAGGATGTGCTGGCTAAATACCTTGTGGGTGTTACCACAGGAGCAAAAACATTCAAAATACAGGTACATAGTTAATATTCATAACTTCAGAAACAAAAATGAAACATGCGTACAAATGGCGTAATCATATTAAGCAAATCATAACTTTTCCGTAGACATCTTACATGCCACACTTTGTACAAGATTTGTTGCAGTTATATAACAGTGGTAGCAACAATGATCTACATGGTCATATTTTAATCAGATAACATCGCAACTGTGATGCTGTGACAAGCTGAAAAGCCCTCCAAGCTTGCACTCACACCAACATCCACAACAGGGACTACACCAAGCTGTATTCATGAATGCTCTGGCCAGCTACTCATGAACCCACAATAGAGAGGCTACAGCCAAAATAACCACCTGCTCCCCAGCCTAAGACCGCAGAGCTGTACCGTCCTGCCCTAGTCAAAACCCGACCAGTACGAATTTATTACCCAGTTCGCCACTTCTACAAAGGAAAGTGGATGTGCAGCAACCCTTGTTCATGAGCTGAGATTTATCCTCTTTGAACGTCAACAAACAGTGTTGTAGGTAAAATTTGAAATAAAGTTATTAACTATGGAAACATAGCTTTTAAGTGATTATAAGTGATAGCAAACAGATCAAAGTAGATTACCATAAGACATAAAACAAAATGCAAACTAAGCCTACAATATTAGATAGGATCTGAATCAGTAATGTCTCACCCTGACTGATGATACGAGCAGTCCACCAAGTTTCCATACACAGGCTGGAAATCCCTTTAACCTGGAACCAGCACTCTCTCCCTCCTCTCTTTCCCTCTCCCCCCGTTCAGTCCTTTTCCTCCGGTACTTTCAGGTGTGTTTTGTAGGGAGAGCGAGGTCCCCTCATGATGTTATAAGAACAGCTATACTGGGTCAGACCAAAGGTCCATCAAGCCCAGTATCCTGTCTTCCAACAGTGGCCAATGCCAGGTGCCCCAGAGGGAATGAACAGACAGGTTATCATCAAGTTGATCCGTGCCGTCACCCAATTCCAGCTTCTGGCAAACAGAGGCTAGGGACACCATTCCTGCCCATCCTGGCTAATAGCTATTGATGGCTATCTTCCAAGAATCTATCTAGTTCCCTTTTGAACCCCGGTATAGTACTGGCCTTCACAACACCATCTGGCAAGGAGTTCCCAGAGGTTGACAGTGCGTTGCATGAAAAAATACTTTCTTATGTTTGTTTTAAACCTGCTACCTATTAATTTCATTTGGTGGCCCCTTGTTCTTGTATTATGAGAAGGAGTAAATAACACTTCCTTATTTACTTTCTCTGTACCACTCATGATTTTATAGACCTCTAGCATATCCCCCCTTAGTCACCTCTTTTCCAAGCTAAAAAGTCCCAATCTTATTAATCTCTCCTCATACGGAAGCTGTTCTATACCCCTAATAATTTTTGTTGCCCTTTTCTGAACCTTTTCAGAATAGTCCCTTCTGCTATATTCTTATTTTCCAAGCATGGAATTACTATCCATAGAGATTCTGTAGTACAATTTATTTCATTGAAGGTTTTTACTTCATTTGATTCTACACTTTCTTTCACATATAGTGCCACTCCCCCACCAGCATGACCTGTTCTGTCCTTCCGATATATTTTGTACCCTGGTATTACTATGTCCCATTGATTATCCTCATTCCACCAGGTTTCCATGATGCCTATTGTATCAATATCCTCATTTAATACTAGGCATTCTAGTTCACCCATCTTATTATTTAGATATCTAGCTTTGGTATATAAGCATTTTAAAAACTTGTCATTTTTTGGCTGTCCCCTGTTGCATGATGTAATTGAATGGGACTTTTTTTCATTTGACTGTTTCTCATCAGATCCTCCCTGTATTTTATCATTTTCCATCCTCTCCTCCTTATTAGGACATAGGGAATCTCCAGTTATAGATCCTCCCCTGAGGGATGTCCAAACCACATGCTCCTCTGCACCTGTTGGCTTTCCCCCAGCCCTTAGTTTAAAAACTGTTCTACGACCTTTTTAATTTTAAGTGCCAGCAGTCTGGTTCTGTTTTGGTTTAGGTGGAGCCATTCCTGCTAGTGAAGGCAGGGGGCTGGACTCGTTGACCTTTCAAGGTCCCTTCCAGTTCTAGGAGATAGGATATCTCCATTTATTTGTTTATTTATTTATTTACTCCCAAAGCTTGTTCCCTTGTTGGTGCTTTGTTTTTATCAAGCAGTGTTTTGACCTTTAAGTGCAAAGAATGTTAGGTGTATCTAGCCCCTGCTCACACTCCCCCTGTAAACTCCCTCGCCAAACTCCCCTGTTAGCCGCTCCTGTTCGCTAGCTCCTCTGGGCGTTTAGGAGCGGGCTTTTTAAAGCCCTGCTCCGCCTGAGTAGCTCCGCCCCCGGGTTATGTTATCTTTTTATATCTTCTTCCAACTTGCTGGAAACCTCCTTTGCTGTGACCTGGGTCAAACAGTTCCTATTATGTACTGCTATCTCTGAGAGGTTTCTATTGCACACAGTTCCTGGGGTAACCCTTGTGCTTGTGTGCATTTCCTCAATAAGTCACTAACATTGTGCCTGAAAGGCGGCTTGTGGGTATTCTCAACCTCACAACATGTTTCAGTAGCACATACAGTAACTCCTCACTAAAAGTCGTCCTGGTTAACGTTGTTTTGTTGTTACGTTGCTGATCAAATAGAGAACACGCTCGTTTAAATTTGCAAAATGCTCCCTTATAACATTGTTTGGCAGCTGCCTGCTTTGTCCACTGCTTGCAGAATGAGCAGCTCGTTGGAGCTGGCTGGTGGGGGCTTGGAACCAGGGTGGATCAGCAGCGCCCCAATCAGCTCCCCGCTCCCCTAAGTTCCCTGTGTGGCAGCTGCCCAGCAGGCTATCAATTGCTTGCAGTTCAGCTGTCCCTCCCCCCACTGCCATGTGCTGCTCCTGCCTTCTGACTTGGAGCTTCTCCCGGGAGCCTCCTGCTTGCTGGGGTGGGGGGGAAGGGGGGAGGAGAGCTAATATCGGGGTGTCCCTCTCCCCCCTGCTTAGCCCATCTCCATATAGAGCTGGGGGGACATGACAGGGCTTAGGACGGAGGGAGTGTGCTGGCAGCAGCTACTGTCTCAACTTTCTGGTCTACTTAAAAAGGCAATCTACTTAGAGTAGTTCAGCGTACTTAAAGGGGCAATGCGCATCTCTCTCGCACACACAGGACGCGTGTCTCTGTCTGCCATGCTGTCTCCCCTCCCTCCCTCCATTCCTGCTGCCTTATAGAGTGTGAGGCTACATTAACAATAATGTGTTAACCCTTGAGGGCTCAGCTGAGTTCTAGTTCATTATTTAGCAGTAAGGCATTCCCTGGGAAATATCCCACCCTCTTCCACTCTCTGACTCCACCACCTCAACCAAGCTTCACAATCAGCATTGCTGTGTACAGTATTCAATTGTTTGTGTAAAACTTCTACTGTGTGTGTGTGTGTGTGTGTGTGCCTAATCCCCTCATTTACATTAATTCTTATGGGGAAATTGGATTCACTTAACATAGTTTCGGAATATAACTACAACATTAAGTGAGGAGTTACTGTATGTAGCCGAACTTCACATACGATGATAGCAGATACAATCCAATGAGATATTAATGTCTAGCACAGGGGTCGGCAACTTACGGCCAAACACTGCACGCGAGCCGATTTTGAGTGGCACGCAGCTCCCTGCCGCAGTCCCG